CGCGTTTACGCTTGTGGCGACGGTGACGATCGATGAAGTTCCGAAAGAGAGCGCTACACTGCTGGGCGCGGCCCTGGAGGACAGGGATGATACGACGTTTGTGGGGCTGTCGTTAACGACGGAGAAACGGTGGGGGACAGTCTTCAACGGCATGACAACAACAAACAGCGGCACTTGGGAGCCGGGGAAGGAGTACAAAGTGGCGCTCATGCTGCAGGACAACAAGGGCTCTGTGTACGTGGACGGCGTGCTCGTGGGGAAATCGGACACACTACCAACGCTTCAAAAAAGGAATTACGAAGTGTCACACTTTTACTTTGGCGGCGGCAAAGACGGCAGTGTGACAGTAAAGAACGTCTTTTTGTACAACCGCCCACTGGGTGAGAAGGAACTCAAAAAGGTCGACGACTACGATCCATCTGGGAAAAATGGAGGCGACAGCTCCATGCGTGCGGATGTGTCTTGCGTGCTGCTGCTGCTGCTGCTGGGGCTATGGGGCTTTGCGGCTCTCTTCTAAGTGGGGCACAGTACAGGGGAGTTTGTGCTTCCGGAAGGAACAAATGCGCCTGTCTACGCCCTCTGAGCCAATTGAAGCATCCCGAGGACATTTTGCATTATTTTATATAATTCAATTAAATTCAAAGATCCATTTTAACCTATGCATAAAAATTTGTTTGGTGTGAGAGCACACTTTTTCCCTTGGGCCCAGCATAATAGGGCCTTCACCTGTTTTTTTTTTGTGTTTTGTGCTTTTCTGAAAATGACGGGGCCGTTTTGCCGCCTCCGTCTTGGGGTTAATGCGCTCTTTTGGCATTGTGTGCACCGCCGATGGCGCCTATATGGAAAGTGAAATGGGAATTACAGCGTCGCACTCCGTGTCCCACTGGAATATGAATGATGTGCGGACACCAGGGGTGTGTAAACAGTTGAAACGAATGCGTATATGTCTTTTTCCCTGCAGGCAAAAATGTGTTTGCACGTTTTTGGGAGGCCTGAGATTGACGATTTGAAGGGGGGAAAAGATGTGTTGTTTTTTGTTTTCTTTTTTCTTTTTTGTCTTGTTCTCTCTCTCTCTCTGCGTGTGTTTGTGTAGAGTCGTCTGCCAAAGACGTTTTTATTTTATTTTTTATTTTCATCAAATTTCCCGTGGGTCACAACTGCCTGGGCTGCAGTTCATTCCCGCGCCTCACCATACTTTTCGCATATTCTTTCAGTCCTGCATCTCTGCTGTGTTTGTGTGTTGCCCCTACGTGCTTTGCTATGTCTTTCCTCCTCCTCTTCGTGCGTGCCCGCAGCTACACGCACACACGCGGGACTTATTTACTGCGGTGCAAGTGAATGATTTTTTCGTAGTGGTGGCAGTGCCGCGTGTGGCTGCTGCCTCCTTCCATGGCGGTGGGAAGAAGAGGGACACGGTGCAGGCGTGAGTGCGCACAGCGGCTCCCTCTTCTTCGTTGCGAGTGCAGGGCGCTGCGTGTGGGGGTGTTGTTTTGAGGCGCGGCCCCATCAGCTACAACGGCGTGGCACGGAGTGAGCGGTTCCTCTTGTCTGCGGTTGCCG